CAAGCATTTAGCTAAACTTAACTAACCACCCTTTACACAAACGTTGTTAAAGTAGCTAAAAGTCCAGTGCCAATAAAGATACTAAAAAATTAGTAAATGTTTATAAACATTTATAAATGATTAATAGTCTCCACTTTAGATTGGGTACTGCAAAAACATGAACAAATTATTAATAAATGATTTGTAAAGATGTGAAAATAGGGTAAATTCCGGTCATTTTGGACACTTTTTGCCATCAAAATGACTGCTCATGAAGGTACTAATGATTAGTAAATATTTATAAACATTTACAATTGATGAATAGTTTCCACTTTAGATTGGGTACTGCAAAAACATTAACAAATAATTAATAAAATATTTAAGATGTGCAAATAGTAGAAGTCTACACAACAAACAAAGACCAAATACACTAAAAAAATTATTCATTGAATTTACAAAATTTTTTAAGGTAAGTGGTTGCAATCAGTTTATTTTAGCTAAATTTAAATAAATAAATTTAGTTGAGTAACTTTTAAAAAAAAAATTTTATTAAATGTAACTAAAATAAATTGTTTGCAACCACTTACCTTACCAGTATAGTTTTTTTCAGTGTATATGACCTTTACAGATTATTAGTTAATGAATATATTAAAATGAATAGTTTGTGAAGTGCTTAAAATTAATAATTAAGCTATATTTTCACAACATTTGTAAATGTAAAAATGAGCATTAGCTAATATGTGAACTGAAGTTTAATGACACTTGTAAGCATTCAACAGTATATTAACAAATAAACTTGTAATCATTGTGTAATTTCTGTTAAAATCTTTTGTAGATTTTCAAAACGCATTGAAAGTTGAATGACATTTGTAAACATTAACTAATCATTAACAAATAATTAATAAAATATTTAAGATGTGCAAATAGTAGAAGTCTACACAACAAACAAAGACCAAATACACTAAAAAAATTATTCATTGAATTTACAAATTTTTTTAAGGTAAGTGGTTGCAATCAGTTTATTTTAGCTACATTTAAATAAATAAATTTAGTTGACTAACTTTCAAAAAAAAAATTTTATTAAATGTAACTAAAATAAATTGTTTGCAACCACTTACCTTACCAGTATAGTTTTTTTCAGTGTATATGACCTTTACAGATTATTAGTTAATGAATATATTAAAATGAATAGTTTGTGAAGTGCTTAAAATTAATAATTAAGCTATATTTTCACAACATTTGTAAATGTAAAAATGAGCATTAGCTAATATGTGAACTGAAGTTTAATGACACTTGTAAGCATTCAAAAGTACATTAACAAATAAACTTGTAATCATTGTATAATTTTTGTTTAAATCCTTTGTAGATTTTTAAAACACATTGAAGTTTAATGACAATTGTAAACATTAACTAATGATCCATCAAGCATTATATAATGTATGTTAATGATTTATTAATGAAGCTTTTAATCATTGTAAATCATCTGTCAAAATCATTTGAAGACTTTTTTTTAAAAAATGCATGATCATATGAATTGAAAGTTTAATGACATTTGCAACCATTTCAATTTCAATTCTTTAATGTGCGCATTGTTAGTAAATAACCGACAGAATTTTCCCCTCCCATCGGCGCTTTTATGGAATTGTGCTCTAATGCTTATTTGCCCTGTTTAGTAAATCTGGCCGTAAGTTCATTAAAATGACTTAACATATAGTTAGGTCCATATATATTTTGGACACAGGCACAATTTTTATTATTTTAGCTGCTGACCAAAACATATTCAAGTTACAGTTATATAATGAATATGGGCTTAAAGTGCACACTCTGTGCTTTAATTTGAGGGTATTCTCATCAAAATTGGAGGAAAGGTTAAGGAATTACAGCTCATTAATATGTACCTCCCCCCTTTTTCAAG